TTTACAGCACTGTCTTATACCTACATCACACATTTTTATGTTATATGATGTCTGCTCAACAGGAACCAAACTGAGCCATAACAAGCTCTTTGCACAAAACAAGCATTGGATGGTAGTAGCTCCTGGTCGCTCACTGTCAGGGAGCTCCATGCTGCTGCACGCTCAGTGGAGAGGATTCGAGGGCGATTTTCTTTGGCCCTTATGTGCTACTGTTTCTCTTTCTTTTTTTTCCCCCTAATGGGCAGGAGTGAAGAAACTGCATCCAGTCTAGCTTGGCTGAGCCCAACAGACAGAAACACACCCTCTCCTATCTCTCTCTGTGAAATCTGTCTCAACTCCAATCCACTTTCAGCTCTGGTACAGTGAGCTGTTCTTCAAATTGGTAACAAGTGCTTGCTCTGATATATCAAATTAAAAATGGATAGTGTATTATAGTTTGTCAAGTAAGAAACCAAAACATGCCATAAATATTTAACACCACCATCTCTCCCTCTCTCTCTCCCCACACTTGCTTTCTGACACTGTTTGTCAAAGCAGCATGAACACGGAAATACGATTTGCCTTTCCTTGTGAATTGCTGAGCCGCAGTAATTATCTCCTTTTGGCACTTCCGGAGGGCTGTCTGGGGAAGCTGACAGCTCAGTGGTGGGGACACAGACGCTCAGCCTTGCTCAGGGGTGGTTCAACCCACTGGAAGAGCACCTTTCTGCCTTGGCAGGCTCTCTCTGACGAGGCAGGGTGGGATGCAGTGCAGAAAAGGAGCTCACAAGGAAAAGATGGGAATCAGCTAAGTGTTCCCCGTTCAGAGTTCACGTCACACAAGAAAACCGGTAACTCCTGGCTTTCCAGATCTGAGGGCCCATACACATGCTAAGTGCCTGGGGCAGGCTTCTACCAGTGGGACTGAGGGTTGAATGAAGGTTGGTGGTGTACGTGTGTGGGCAGGACCCAGTTTTCCACCAGCTACTGCTTAACAGGGAGACGAGGGAGTCATTTGCTGAGGTCATGATTGAAGTGCGTGATATACTGCTCTTGATCTTCCGAAGAGGGACCCAAAGTGCTCACCACCACCCAAAAGACCCTGACCGCTGGCCTCCTCCACACCTAACCAGCTGCCTGGGGGATACATGCTTTAGTCAGCAGGTTCTGCAGCAGATCCAGGGTTGGGATGGGAAGCAGGTATCAGAAGAAATGAACCTACGAGTTGTGGACGCTGCAGTTGTAGAAGACGAAGCTCGTGCTGGCAAAAGTCATACCCGTTTCCTTGGACTTAAGCTGGAGCTGGACGATGTGATGGTCTCCTGGGAAAAAATTAGATGCATCAGTGTGACTACCTTGCTAGCCCAGTTAAGCGCTACTGGCCATGACATCAACCTGTACTGGCAGCTGGCCTATGGTACCTTGGCTAGCCTATCCTCCACGGGTGTAGGGTACTCAGTAAGACTTCTATAGCACAATTTTCCAACATGAAGTACATCTATGTCTCTCATGGGACTGGGGTGATGGAATAAATCTTCACCATTGGAAGTTCTACCTGGGAGCAGATTCTGGGCTTCATGATGCCAACAGGTCTTAGCCATTCCTCACTAACTTCAAAACTATGATAAATGAAGTCGGCAAGTACGAGAGCTAATCTCAAAGAAAGGAGGAGACACCTGGAATAAGGAAGCCATCAGAATGAAACACTGTTCTTGTAGATTGTCATTGCTGCAGGTTCATTTAATGTCCCCAGAAGGAAGAGGAGGATTTTACTTCTGGCCCAAAGCGTTGGTGTCCTGTGCATACACTGCCTGAGAGAGAAATGTACCTGCTTCCTTAAAGAGGTGCAAAGGGGTACAGAAAGATTTACTTTCTTGTCACCCTCCTTACTCATTGTCTTTGAATAGGGCCCAATACCCAGGATAGCCATTCATGGAGAAAGCCACCTTCATATCCTGCCTCCAAAGAGAGGTAATCCCTTGGGAAAAGCAAGATGAAGAATGCTCCAGTGAGGAAGTTGCCTTGGATAAATACCATTACAGTGAGTACAGGATAGGGGGTCCCTGGCTGCACACTGAGAAATGCTGATGAACAGGGAGATTCCCATGTGAGTTGTTCCTTTGAGTAACGACGTATTCTCCCCGGCCTTTGGGTACAAACAATCCAGCTCAGCATAAGAAGCCCACAAGCCACTGCCCATCTAGAAGGACCTTTCTGTTTCCATAGCAAACCCATACACAGCAAAACCTCTCCCTCAGCTCCTAAATATCTTCTCCTCATTCTCTCCGTGTCCCTTTCCCACCGCTCCCACTCTGGGCAGTTAACTGTCAGCACTTCCCCCAGTGCCAAAGGCCCTGTTCAAAATCCCAAAGCCCATCAGCTGTTGGTAGTAACTGGGCATATTAATTGCAGTAATTTGGTGAGGAAGGAACCCATGTTTAATTCAAGACTTTGGCCTGGTTGGCCCTTTCACCTCTATTATTTTCCTCCTCAGCTGAAAGATTCATTAATCAATCAGGCCAAAGCAAACTTGACAATTAATCTCAGCATGCACCCGCATGTGCACCCACCCACCTACAAGCGCACACATACACATGCACACACACACACGTACACACCACACACACTTGACTAAACACATTTTGCTGCCAGTGCTCGACTCTGCTGCCCATCTGCTACTGCCGGCTTTGACAGCTCTGTTATCTGCTTCGTATTTAACAACTTTGCCAACATCTTGTGTATATTTTAAAACAGGATCTGAGGACTGGATGGCTCCAGGGATCAGACACGCTACAGAGCCACACATCCCTTGGTTCAAATCCAGCCTCTGGCACTATGCATGGAGGACCTGGTCTTTGCAGAGATGCAGAGCACCAGCTGCTGAAGTTGATACAAGCCGCAGGTGCCCAGCTTCTCTGGAAACCCTGCTCCACATAAATCTCTCCCTGCTGTCCTGCCTCCAGTTTCCATCACTATTTTTGTTTTCTGGTCATTTATATCCCAGCCTTGGACAGACGTCCACACCAAGGAAATGATTCCTGGCTTCTGTCTTGGTAGGCAAGTGTGACTTACGACTCATGGAGCCCCGAGGACGGTAGCAGCCTTTTGGGTGCGTAGATACATTTTCCTGCTCTGGGACTGTAACAGAGAGCGCACATGCTACTGTGTGTAGCTTGGGGAGAGCACAGCTATAATAATTACCATTTGTGTCACTTCTTTCGTGGCCTAAGAGGGTTGTCAGTGCCTAACTTTACAGCAAAAATGCACAAGAAGCCAAGGACAAAAATGGCAGCATACTCTACATGTCTCTTGTGGCAATCAACAGTGTTGATGTCTTTACAGTAAGTGCCTCCAGAGAGCCTCAAATGCAAAAGTATTTAGAAAAGGGAAGCAAAAAGGAGCAGAGAGCTGGTGGGGAGGGGTCCATCCTTGAAATGAGATATTTCCACCTTGGATCATTTTGGGAGAGAGCCAGTAACAAACAGACTGGGAACAGCTGAAGGAAGTAAAGGTGTGGGACCGAGACAAGAAACTGAGCATTCAGACCTGTAGCTGGGAGGAGCAGGATGAAACTGCAGGGGGGATCATTCAGATCTGCAGGACTTTCTGGCTTCTACACAGGACGGGATATATAGGAAGTACTGAGAGCATTTACAGCCTGCTCCCTTGGGTTGCATAACAACAGCCTGGGCAAAACACTTCCAAAGACACTGCTCTAGTCTCATGTCTTTGCAAGATATATGCAATTGCCACTCGGTGGCAGTCTGAAAACACATACCATCACACACGTACACACCTTAATGCAGGTACTGATATCCCAGCTTACTGCTGGCACACGTATGCACACATACACACACAAACATGCTCACACTCAGCACACGTGCTACAGCGCGCTGCTGTGCTGCTCTAGCAGTGAGCACCAACACAGCATCACACCTACCCCTGTGCTTTGCACTGACCCATCCTCAGGCTCCTGTAAGCCAAACTCTGCTTCTCGAGCAAGTGGCAGCTGAGATGTATGGGAGTGGAGTGAGGAAGGGGGAGAGAAATTATGCAAATGGGGAAGCTTTGAGATACCCACCATTCTCTGTGATGATCTGGGGCACCTCTTTGGCAGCTGGTGAGATGCACTGGATCTGACTGCCCACCACCAAGCCATCCATCTCTGACAGGTCCTCAAAGGTGCAGTTAACTCCCGCTGACAGCTCAGGGACATTGTAGGTCTCCAAGACTAGCTGCAAGCAAAGATGGAAGGAGGGAAGAAGAGATAGAAAAAAAAAAAAAAAGACAGAGAGAGAGAGAGAGAATACTGAGCTGAACGACAGAGCTGGGCAAGCAGGAGAGAATTACACTGGAGAGGTTGGACAAAGAGCCTCTTGCTAGACAGAGCATCCTCCTTCAACAGAAAGCAGCAATTCAGGAGAGGGACGTGTGTGGAGGGGAAAGATGAAATGCCGATGCCAACACAGGTGGTAGGTGACTATGCGGGGACAACTGCACTGCGTCCCAGTGCTGGCTGGGACAGTGGAGGGGAAGGAGTGCTCGTTATCTGTCATGCAAGTGTAAGGTTAGACGGGGAGTCTTTGGAGCCAGCTGTGAAGACTGGGGCTTTGCTGACCCCAAGGCACGCGGTTTCTGAGGAAGGTGACTGCTACTCACAAGAGGCACTCTGCAGACTACAGAGAAACTGTAGCGCTCCAGTCTAACTCTCTACGGCCTGCTCTCCTAGCATCAGCAGATGGGGGGAGCGCTCTGTCACCAAGTTCCTGCATAAGGAGAGTCTAGTTACAGCCTTCGGTCCACCACACAAAACCACTATCTCTAGAGGCACAGCAATTTCACTGCCTCTCTCCTGCCCATCCCACCGAGGAAGAAATTGGCCCTGGGCATGTGCTGTATTGGGGTATCATAAATAATAATAACAACAAAAGCTGTGAAGGACAAATTCCTAGCGATTTTTGAGTTTACGACCCTCACCAGCTTTACCATGTCATTACCCATGGTCATTAAAGAAAGGAATTGCGCAACTGGTTTCCACCATGTTCATGCTCTAGCAAAGGGCCTTCATGCTGCTGTCTTCCCAGACCAGATAAGGCCCTGCACCACTGCTTTCCAGCACTGAGGGTCCTGCCTAACCCACCTGTGAACAAAGATACCCCATGACCAAAGGCAGAGAGAGGCATTACTGGGTACTTCTAGCAACTGCTGATGACCTAGTAGTATAAATTTAGGGTTATTGCCACCAACCACTAGAGGCAGTCACTAGAAACAGGCACAAATTTGGCTTCTTTTCACACTTGCCTACTCCGTGAGCTAGCTGAAGCCCCATCTGAGGTGACGGCCACTGAAAGGAGACATAGTGCATGCTGAAGTGTTGTGTCTATCAGCACAAAGAACAGAGGAGGTCAGTCCAGGTGCTAAAGCAGGGGATTACGGGTAACATAACTCTTGCTTACTGCTTCCCCACATTGCATTTTCCTCACTTGGAAAAGACTTGGGGGCTATTCCTCAATGCTAGGCGCCATGAGGGAGAAAGGCTGAGCAGATAACTAAGCGACATAAAGCCCTTTCATGAGTATGTTCAGTTCCTGGCAATGGGAACAGCAATGGGAAAGGTAATTTTGTCTCTTGGATGGGAAGCAGGAGAAAGCTTTGGGTACTTGAACAAAATTAGCATTGAGGCAGTTCAAAACTCTCCTGTCAAATGGTTGCCCCTTTCTTGTTTCTTCCTTCTCTTGAATACACTGTTAGCAGTGGAGAAAGGGAAACAGTTCTCTTTGATAAATCTCTCTCTTTGAGCACGGCAAATACAGAATACAGGTATGCCACCCTGAGGATGACACCAGCAGATAGACTGGTAGAGCTTGGCCACAAACCTCACGAGCCAATGCTCATCTTGAGCAGACAAGAAATCTTACATCCCGCATACCTGTTCCGGAGTTGCTGCAGTGAGGGAAGAACAGAGCCTCCCCTCAGCAAATATGTCTTCTCAGAGATCCCAGAGTAGCAGCTGTGGACTGAAAAAGTCTCAGATACAGCTCTCCAAGTCAATGTCGGTGTCCAAAAGTTAAAGGACTAGCTGGCCACACAGATATCTTCTCTACCTCTATAGGCAAACACTTGACATTGTTGTCTCTCAGTTAGAACCCAAGTGAGACCACACAAGGACACTACCAGTCATTCAATCGTTGGTGCTCCCCTCTTGGCACAGTGATTGTGAATGAGCGGGGACATTAGTCCATCCAGGACTGGGCTGAGATTCCCGTGGCAATTTTCATGCAGACTGTTGGGCAAAAGTCATACGCTGGCAGCTTCTGATCTTAGCAGCTCAGGGTTGGCTTGCCCTGCCAGAGTAACCTAGAGGTAAAGGTCTTTTGTTCTGTTATCAATTTCAATTGCCCTGAGCCAGCTAGTCCCCCAGGATTTATTCTAACATAAAAGAATTCAAAGACTACTGAGAGAATAAGAAAAGGAAACCTTGAACTCCCAGAAGAACAAAGGATTTAGGATGTCTCAGATCAGTTTTGTTTGAAGCCTAGGAAAGTTAAGTCACAGCAAAGTTAAGAGGCTGAAACAAAGCAGCAATGATTGGACATGCAGGCTTTGAAAGTCTGATTTCATTAGCACTGACTAAAACCTAGCACTCCTCCAGAAAACATCACCTGGAAGGTGTCTGACAGCTGCGCCTTGAGTAGTAGTACCATTTAGACTTCAGGATGTGGGGCTAGGGACCAACTCCCCCGGAAATGGAGCTTTCAAGGTTCAAGTTATCAGTCCAATTCCAGCCCAAACTAGTATGGCCAAAAGGCTAGAGCCTTGGTAGACTGGATGAAATGGATCCCTACCTTGTTCTCAGAGGGTACAAAGATCTCACTGCATTTGCTGCTGCTGTCATGAGCTGGGAGAGAAGCTAGGAGCTTCCTAGACCTTCCGCAGTGATTTCTTGCCTCAAGCAAGAAAAAGGGTCAGGATCACTTTTACCATCACTTTTACCATCACTCACTGTGTGGTAGACCAGCTGCTGACTTGAACAACTCTTGGCCATAAAGGCTAAACCTTGCACTGAAGAAGGTCACATGACATAGCATGGACCTTGGCAGCCTTAGCCTACCTTTCTGCTCTGTGTGCTCAGTGCTGGAGCTGCAGCAGAATGAAGTTGTTGGTAGCTTAAGAAGACACTTCCAACCAAGGCAATGGGAAATTAGATCTTATTGAAATAACTCATGGTGTCCCTCACTTGTCCTCCTTCTGCAGGGTCAGTTCTAACCTCGATGATGTCCCTTGCCTAAAGCCCATGTCCAGCCATTCACAAATCCCTCTCCCAAGGAAGTAAACATCTGCACTGTGTGCACATAACACTTCCAGAGTGTGGAGGCCCTTTGGAGGTGGCCTCAGCTCCTCAAACAAAATAGAGAAGCCTCTTTCCCCACTTCTAGTGAGAGGATAACCAAAGCCCAAATGTCCTCCCACGGAAAATCTTTCTGCGTGTGGGGAAAGTTATTGGCCTCTGGAGAACTTC